AGTAGCAGTGGCGGGGGGGAATAAGCCTGGGGAAATAGTTTTACTTTGTGTAATGACCCATCCACTCCCAGTTTTTATTCAAGCCTAAGTTAATTGTATCCAGTCTGCAAATTAATTCCACTTCAGCAGTCTCCCGTTGGAGTGTTTTTTAAGTTTTTTTTTGTTGTAATATTGTGACTTTTAGGTCTGTAATCGAGTGACCAGGGAGATTGAAGTGTTCTCTGACTGGTGTTCTCCCCGCCCCTCATAATAGCTCACCTTAATTGATCACTCTCATTATAGTGTGTATGGCAACACCCATTTTTTCATGTTCTCTGTGTGTATATATATATCTTCCTACTGTATTTTCCACTGCATGCATCCAATGAAGTGGGTTTTAGCCCACGAAAGCTTATGCTCAAATAAATTTGTTAGTCTCTAAGGTGCCACAAGTACTCCTTGTTCTTTTTGCTGATTCAGACTAACACAAGCTACCACTCTGAAACCAGTCCACTGACAGTACTTGCAGAAGCAACGAGAGCAGTCCCAGTGACCATCAGATACAGTAAGAAGGAACTGAGGGGACTCGAGTTGGCTGGGCACTTTATACTGATCCCAGCAGCAGCAGAGGGCGCTCAAGCCACCCCGATGGGTATCACTAAGGGAAAAATTTCTTGCGACTGTGCATGGGGGCGCGCACTCCAAGAGTAGAATGCACATGTGCAATCACTCGAAGGAGGGTAACCACAGTATCTACCTTTTAAAAGGGTCACAAAGAGGACCCATGGAATTATAGACCAGTCAGCCTAACTTCAATACCTGGAAAGATACCGGATCAAATTATTAACCATCAGTCTACATAACCACCTAGAAGATAAGAGGATAAGTAATAGCCAACATGGATTTGTCAAGAACAACTCTTGCCATACCAAACTAATTTTCTTCTTTAATAGGGTATTGGCCTAGTGGATGGGGGGAAGCTGTATAGATGATATCTTGATTTTAGTAAGGTTTTTGACATAGTCCCAATTGATGTTCTCCTCAACAAACTAGGGAAATGTGGTCTATATGAAATTACTATATGATGGATACATAACTGGTTGAAAATGGGCTTAACTTGAAGCAAGGGAGGTTTAGGGTAGGTATTACAAAAAAACTTTCTAACTGTAAGGATAGTTAAGCACTGGAATAGGCTTCCAAGAGAGGCTGTGGAATCCCTGTCATTGATGGATCTTAAGAACAGGTTAGACTAGGAATACTTGGTCTTACCTCAGTATCGGGGACTGGACTAGATGACCTCTTGAGGTCCCTTCCAGCTGTACATTTATATGATTCTATATAATGTCTTCTAGTGCCACTGTCTTCAAACATTTTTTATTACATGCAAGGTAAAACACTACTTTTCTCAGATTATGCTGGGCCACATATTTGGCCTTCAAGGTCTCAACACAAGCATATTCATTTTTCCCATTAAAAATATTAGCTGATTATCTCACATTATTTTAAAATACTAAAATGGATCTATATTTTAAGAACAGAAAACTAGCAATACACTACTCCAGAATAAGGAATACAAATTTGTATAGAATTTTATGATGATGTGCAACGTTTAAGGAAAATAGAGTTGGGGGACAAACTTTGAATACAAAAGTTTTATTTTGCAGAGTCTATGTATGTAAACTAGATACTATAGATGAGTACTGTTTAAAGTATCCTTATAAATCTATTATGGTAACCTTTTCAATCCTATTTTTTTTTAAATGCAGCAATGGGGTAAGGAACAGGAAATATGAGATAGCTGGGACAAAGGATCATCGGAAGGTGCTGGAGGCAAATGTGTGTCACTGAGCAATAAAAGGAGGAGGAACATCAAAACAGGGTGGGGGGTGGGGGAAACTATTAAGGGGGCTAGGTTAGTAGCGAACTGAAGGACAAGGGAAGAGACATAGAAGAGGCTAGAGAACCATAAGGGGATTTGGGCAAGAGCAATAGCCTATATGAGAGAAGCAGACAGGAGTAAAGAATGTAAATAAGTAGCTGAGGAGGAAGGTAAGAACCTGGAAGGAAGAGGCAGGTGGGAGCCCAAACTGAAGGGAAACGTAACTGGGAATGCTTCTGGCAGTGGTAGCTGCAGTAGTTGCCCACCAAAGGTCTTGGGTTTGGGGAGAAAGGAAGGAAGCAGGGAATCTTGGGCAAGGGTCGTATCACTGGCTAGAGGAAGTGGTATGCTATCTAGTTGATGAAAGGAAAGGAAGGGGTAAAGCAGGCAGGGTGGAGGAGCTTTGAGTTCCCTTCCCTGGTCATTTTTGTAACATCAAAAGACTGCCTGGTTCCAGAAGCATTCCAAACCCTTTGATGTGAGAGCAGTTCTGGCATGACACTACAGTAGCACACCAAAAAGGGAGGGGACTATAAACTCTTAGATTAAAGAGTTCCTAAACGCTCAAAGACACATAGAACGACAGCCAAGAAACAGGCATGAGAGTGAATTGCCTAGTACTATATGACACCCCAAGATTTAAAAATATTGCCGGCCCCTCTAAATTTCAGGGGTCGGAGATGGTCACAAGACCCTTCTCTGATGCACTGTGATCCTTGTCTCCCTTTCAGTGTAACTGCTGGAAGGGGAGATTGAACAGAGAATTGACTCTACTCTGGTCCTCCTAATGGAGAAGAAGAGTAGAGAATCTCTTCAGTTTCTGAGTCTGTTCAAGGCCTCAGGGAGAAACTTGCCTTACTGATGCTTAAAGCCTTAACTTTCATGCACATGCAATATGATTTAAAACAAAACAAAAAACACTAATACTGAAAAATATATAAAACCATTTCATAACATTCAGGACCAGTCAATGATACTGGCATAAATCTACAGAGTTACTCTAGATTTACACTACTGTAAAGAGAGAAGAAACCGTTCCTAGGAGTCTGAACCTATCTAACAAGAGCCAAGAATTCAGAGTAACTTTTTCCTCAACTTCCGTGTTTTCTGTTGATGAGCATGAGAACAGCAGGCTATAATAGACATCAAAGGAGATGTAACACATTGGCCCAATGGGGTAAACTAATGAAGAGTTAATCTCAAATAGAATTTTCTGGTCTTTCATTTAAGTCAGACTGATCGTGTTAAGGTAACATAGGGCCAAATCCTATAGCTTTTTAATGATAGTTTTGCTTAAGAAAGGACTAAATTGTTTGACATACACTATTTTGTATGCAACAGTATATTTTAGCATGCAGATTTTTTATGAATGAACAAAATATAATGGCTGATGCTCGGAAATTTATTATTTGGCACATTTACTGCTTGTTTTTTAAATCACATTTGAAAGATTTTTTTTTTAAATTAGGGACAGTGAATAATCAAGAGATTTGTCTCAAATGGCACCCAGCACAGAAGAAAAGATCTCTAGCAGGCATGCAGGTAGAGGATGTGTTTATCTGATTATTTTTCTTAGAAGGAGGAGGAAGTGCCATGGCAAACACAAGTGTGGCTATTGATTAACATGATTGTCCCGCATAGCAGAGAAAAAGGTATTTTTAATTTATTCTTACAATCAACAAGGTATATGGAAACTGTTACCATGGGTTTACCTGGAATAAACTGACACATTAGTCAATTTGTTATTGGATCTTTTTGATTAGAGAATATTGCTATCAAATATTTGTGCAGATGGAATTTTTGGAGAATTTAGTTGCAAAGCTCTACCAACTCTCTACTGCAGTGGTTCTCAACCAACTAATCGTTGTGGGCCGCATATGTGGCCACAATGTGCTACCTGGGCTGCAGGTTGAGAACCGCAGCACTCCCCCAAACCCCTCCAACCTGCTATGTCCAGCACCCCCAGCCCAGAGACTCCTCCACAGAGTGGGGCCAGGAGCGGAGCCCTGGTGGTGGGGTTGGGCAGCAGGGAACTTTTACCCCGTTGTATGGGGCCAGGCGTCAGCCCTGACCCAACCTTGCCACCAACCCTGACCCAGCCCCTTGCTGTGCAGGGCTGTGCAGCAGCCCTGACCCTGGATGCTGATGTGTGGGGCTGGGTGGCCTGGACCTCTCCGCGTGGCAGCCCCTGGCAGTCCTGGACCCCACCACACTTTAGCACACAGCTGGGCTGCAGCTGTGCGACCCGTGAACCACTGTTCTACTGAACAAAATGTGTTTTTTTAAAGGCTTATAACTTGGCCAAATTTGGGCAGATTTTCATGGGATGCCCCGTGGCTGGGATCTGGGGTGGGGGTTGGGCTTGATGTGGCTGAGGTCTGGGGGGTAGGAGGTGCAGGTGTCCGGGCTGGAGGGTGCCTCGTGGCTGGGCTCTAGGGGAAGGGGGCATGGATGTCTCCCCCCCTACCCCCCGGTTAGGCTCAGGGGCGGGGGAGGGGGGCAGAAAAACAGGAACTAGGTTGTCGTAGAGGTTTCTTTAACTCTCTACTTTTGGGGACTTTTTGTGTCTCTGTATTGCTACAGACATAGCTGCTGACAGGTATTTTGAAATAAATCACCAAAATGATTGAAACTGGCATGATTATATAGTGTTATTTTGACAAATGAGATATGAAGAATTTTGCAGAATTTTAAAATATTGCCTGCAGAATACTTATTTTTTTTGTGCAGAATTTCCCCAGAAGTATTAATTGTAGTTTACTTGCTCACTTCATCCGTCCAAGTGCGAAATTGCTGGTAAAGAGATACTAATATATACTTTACATTAAGCTTAAACAAATTAAACAAATTCAATAAATGGCAGTGTTCGTCTAATTAGTATTTATAGAGCTTTGACCTTTAAAATATGCTAGACTTTACCGACATATGTCCATTAAATGACCTCATGCCAACTCACTGCTAGTTGATAATTTCACCTATTCTTTGGTTCATTTTTGTCAACTCGCAAACAAAAACCTCTTGGAAATTGGGTTAGTGTTTGGAAAATTGCTTTCACACATCCTGGACCTTTTCCCTTTTGAGACTATATGAAAATCTGTTTAAGAACTAGAATTGGGTTTGAAAAGGAACAAGAGAAACTTACTGTTTCTAAGGCCATGATACGCTCCTGCAAATAAAGGAGAATACATAATTAGAAAAAACAAGTTGACCATGATGAAAGGGCTTCATTTTGTCTTTGCTGTATTAGCACATACAACATTTTGTACAAAAACTTATTATATAGGAACACAAGAATTGCCATACTTGATCAGGCCAGTGGCCCATTTAGTTCAGGATCCCGTCTTTAGCAGTTGCTTTAGTGAAGGTGGAAGAAAACAGTTATGAAAGAACTTGCAAAAAAGAAAGGTTTCTTCTTAACCCCCATTAGAGGCTGGCTTCTGCCCTGAAGCAGGAGAGATGATAGAAATTTTTTGAAGTATTTATTATCATGACTTTGAATATTTTTTTAACTATGTAAATGTCCAATCCTTTTTTGAATCCTGATAAATTCTTGGCCTCCATGGCAATGAGTTCCATTGTCTGAGTGTTACATTAAATATTTCCTTTTTGCCATCTTTTAATTTTATTGGATGCCTTCTTGTTCTTGTCCTTGCATCATATGAAATTGTAAAAAGAAGTTCCTATCTACATTATCTGTACCATTCATTATTTTATATTATATATATATTTATTGTGCACTTTCTTATTCCTCTCTTCTCTAAGATGAATTGTTTCAATCATTCAAAACTCTTCATGTGAGAGTTTCTCCATGCACCAACCCATTTTTATAGCCTCAAGCACCCCACTGCATTTCTGTTAATGTCCTTCTTGGGATGGGGTTATCAGAACACAAATTCCAAGTGAGTGTGTACTCCTGATTTCATATGGTGTTGTTATATTTTCAGTACTCTCTACCGTATTTCTTACGCATCCTGACATTTTGTCTGCTTTTTTGACCATTGCTGCATGTAGACATCATTCTCTGTCAAATGAAGCTGCTGGTAAAAAACAAACACACACGCACACACAGAGAAAAAATATTTTCATCATTGGCCTCTGAACTAGCCAGGGCTGGTTTTCAAAAAGAGAAAAGAAATCTCAACATTTGTTAAAAATTATTCTTCCTCCTGCATTTCCAACTAAAGTGCCCCCTTGTTCTACAGATAATGTGCATGGGTCCATCCTTCAGATGAGTAACTGAAAAACTGGTGGTTTAAGTGACTTGACAAAAGTTATATAGGACATACGTGGCACAGCTACGAACAGAAACCTGATAACTGAGGTAGTAGACCACATTGCCTCTGATACATTAAGAAAAAAACCCTAGCTGTTATATAGTGCTTTTTATTTGTAGATCTCAAAGCTCCTTATGAAGAAGGTCAGTGTCATTATCCCATTTTACAGATGGGGAAGCTGAGGCCCAGGGAGGGGAAGTGACTTGCCCAAAGACACTTGTTGCCAGTGTCAGAGTGGGGAATGGAACCTGAGCCTCCTGAGTTTAAGTCCAGTGCCTTCTTGTTTAAGCACACTGCCTCCGAAGTTCACTCAAATCTTTATACTTAGGTAGGGTAACTGTAAAATGGGGGTAATACTCACCTTTGTAAAGTGCTTTGAGATCTACAGAGAAAAAAGTGTTAGGTACGCACAAAGCTTTATCACCACTACATAATTACCACATTTTTAAGATGGATAAGTAAGACACGATGAGGTTCAGTGGCTGGTACAGGCACTGTGACCTAGTAGTCTGGGCACTAGCTGTGAAACCAAAAGACACAGCTTCTAGTGTAGTGTTTGACACCATTTGCTGTGTTTTTCTTTTAGCACATCTTAGCACATTCAGAGTAAGACAGTAGGCCTGCTGCACTTGCATGCACAGCTAATTTCACTATTTCAGGAATGTGCATCTTTTCAGGTATGCATTGTATAAGGCAGATTTGCACAAGAGACATTCTAATTTAACAACAAAAACAGTTAAGAACTTTACCTGAAAATCCTGTCTAGTGATAAATAAGTTAACTGAAATTTTCCCACTTAAGAGTATCCTTACGAAAATAATGTTTGGATAGTGCAAAAACAAAACATAAAATATAAAATATAAAAGAAGCCAAAAAGTGGAAGATTTTCCACTGAATGCATCCGATGAAGTGAGCTGTAGCTGACGAAAGTTTATGCTCAAATAAATTTGTTAGTCTCTAAGGTGCCACAAGTACTTCTTTTTTAAAAAGAAGCCAACAGTCCATCGATCCATGTTTGTTGTGCTGTGATGGAATACGCATTTCTTTATTACTAAATAATATGTTCTCATTATATGGACTGTGCAATATTTATGATTACTGTAACTATTTATTTGCTGCTTCAAGTGCTTGGATTTTATAAATGATGTGATAGATAACTACACTGTTCTCACTTAGCAACCTTAACTGGTTTTGACAGAGGTTTGAGTTTTTTGGAATTATAAAATTGTATAAGGTGCCTAGAGGGTTTTTCTGTCTATATTATTGTGTCTCTCATGTACCACCATTTATCTGGGAAAAATCCACACAGCTTCACTTTATCATACTATATAGATCAAACCAGAACACTTTATAAAACAAGACACCCTGAAAATTAGTACCCCCAGGACACCATAAAGATCTACTGGATATGATCTTCTTGGAAAAGAAAAACATTTGTGACACACCTTTGACACTGAACTTTCTAAATTTGTCCCCTGATATTATCTACTATTAGTACACTGATAATATATGCAATGGAATATTTGTTTCCTCATGATTTTCTTTCTGGGACTGACCTCTCCTCTAGTCCAAGACAAACGAGCTGTGCTTCTCATCTAGCAAATACTGGAGCAGTTCAGACTCATCCATGAACGCTCTGGGGCTTGGCTATGCCCTCTTCTGCTCCTGTGCGAGATCAATGTTTCCAAAGTTGTAAGGAAACACTTAATTCTTATAAGTAGATTAAGCATAATTTATAAATTATGCGCTAACTGTACTCTCTTTATACACAGAGACTAAAGAAGCTACACACACACACACACAGAATTTTTTTCAGGTGGAGAAGGAATGGGGAGAGGTCAGTCCAGAAAGGAAGTAATCAAGTAACAAATTTTCTATTTTGGTTCTGTTTTTGTCTTCCAATCTCAAACTGGGAGGTAGGAAGCAGCATGGAAAAATTAGTTCTGAGGAGAAATAAGTAAGGCAGAGGAAAAACTTGCTCCATCCCTAAAATTGGTAGAATTAATCTATTTTGGGACTACTGTTGGAGCACTTTCCTTCTGAAGGATCAGGGGGTAGCCGTGTTAGTCTGTATCCACAAAAACAACAAGGAGTCCGGTGGCACCTTAAAGACTAATAGATTTATTTGGGCATAAGCGTTCGTGGGCTAGAACTCATTTCATCGGATGCATGGAGTGAAAATTACAGACGCAGGCATTATTATACTGACACATGAAGAGAAGGGAGTTACCTCAGAAGTGGAGAACCAGTGTTGACAGGGCCAATTTGATCAAGGTGGATGTAGTCCACAACAAATCCAGGTTGTGCTGGAAATGGCCCACCTTGATTTTCATACACATTGTAAGGAGCGTGGTCACTTTGGATGGGCTATTACCAGCAGGAGAGTGAGTTTGTGTGTGGGGGGCGGAGGGTGAGAAAACCTGGATTTGTGCTGGAAATGGCCCAACTTGATTATCATACACATTGTAAGGAGAGTGATCACTTTAGATAAGCTATTACCAGCAGGAGAGTGGGGTGGGAGGAGGTATTGTTTCATGGTCTCTGTGTATATGTCTTCTGCAGTTTCCACAGTATGCATCCGATGAAGTGAGCTGTAGCTCATGAAAGCTTATGCTCAAATAAATTGGTTAGTCTCTAAGGTGCCACAAGTACTCCTTTTCTTATTAGTAGATGTGCAGGTGAATGAGCCTCTGATGGTGTGGCTGATGTGGTTAGGTCCACTGATGGTGTCACTAGAGTAGATATAGGGACAGAATAGGCAACAAGGTTTGCTACAGGGATTGGTTCCTGGGTTAGTGTTTCTGTGGTGTAGTGTGTAGTTGCTGGTGAGTATTTGCTTCAGGTTGGGGGTCTGTCTGTAAGCGAGATCTGGCCTGCCTCCCAAGGTCTGTGAGAGTGAGGGATCGTTTTCCAGGATAGGTTGTAGATCGTTGTTAATGTGCTGGGGAGGTTTTAGCTGGGGGCTGTACGTGATGGCCAGTGGTGTTCTGATATTTTCCTTGTTGGGCCTGTCCTGTAGTAGGTGACTTCTGGTTACTCTTCTGGCTCTGTCAATCTGTTTCCTCTCTTCCCCAGGTGGGTATTGTAGTTTCAAGAATGCTTGATAAACATCTTGTAGGTGTTTGTCTCTGTCTGAGGGATTGGAGCAAATTCGGTTGTATCTTAGGGCTTGGCTGTAGACAATGGATTGTGTGATGTGTCCTGCATGGAAGCTGGAGGCATGTAGGTAAGTACAGCGGTCAGTAGGTTTCTGGTATAGGTGGTGTTTATGTGACCATCACTTATTTGCACTGTAGTGTCCAGGAAGTGAATCTCTTGTGTGGACTGGTCCAGGCTGAGGTTGATGGTGGGGTGGAAGTTGTTGAAATCCAGGTGGAATTCTTCAAGGGCCTGCTTCCCATGGGTCCATATGATGAAGATGTCATGAATGTAGTGCAAGTAGAGGAGGGGCGCTAGGGGACGAGAGCTGAGGAAGCGTTGTTCCAAGTCAGCCATAAAAATATTGGCATACAGCGGGGCCATGAGGGTACCCATAGCAGTGCCACTGACTTGAAGGTATAAGTTGTCTCCAAATCTGAAACGGTTGTGGGTGAGGACAAAGTCACAAAGCTCAGCCTCCAGTGGTGCCGTGGCCTCATCAGGGATACTGTTTTGTGACAGCTTGTAGTCCATCCTCATGTGGAATATTGGTGTAAAGAGCTTCTACATGCATGGTGGCCAGGATGGTGTTTTCAGGAAGATCACCAATGCATTGTAGTTTCCTCAGGAAGTCGGTGCTGTCTCGAAGAAAGCTAGGAGTGCTAGTAGCATAGGGTCTGAGGAGAGAGTCCAAATAGCCAGATAATTCTGCTGTAAGAGTGCCGATGCCTGAGATGAGGGGGCGTCCAGGGTT